CAGTAACAACAAAGTCTCCAATGGAGACGTTACTGGGCCCGCTTGAGCAAATAAAATTATGAAAACAAAAAGGTGGAGTTCATGCCCAATTCAATCAGCTAATCTGTGGCTGAAAAAATAGCAGTACTCCTACATTAAAAAATAAATAAAAAATAAAATAAAATAAAATAAAAATTTTAAGAGAGTGAGAAAGGGGAGAGAGAGAGAGTATGGAAAATACTTTTTATTTAATTTTTTATTAGTGAAACACCATGAGGTACAGTTATAGACTAACAAATTTTTGTGCTTGGGTTTCAGTTATACAATGATCAAGTACCCATCCCTCCACCAGCGCCCATCCTCCACCACCATGGGTTCTAGCATCCCTCCCACCCCCCATCCCTCCTCATCCCACCCTGCCTCTGTGGCAGGGCATTCCCCCTTGTTCTCTCTCTCTTCTCTTGGGTCCTGTGTTTTGCAAGAGAGGCATTGAGTGGCAATCATGTTTGGTCTATAGTCTACTTTCAGATTGCTTCTCCCACCCTGGGAGGATCCTCACAACAACCTTTATTTGGTGCTCTCTTCTGTATCTGAGCTTCCTTTTCCCCTAGCTGGTGTGGTTGGCCTCCAAGTCATGGACCAAATTCCTGGTACTAATCTCAGCCACTTCTGGGTGCTAGTCTCCCATTTTGTTGCTTTATGTTCCCCAGATGAATACAATCTTTCTGTGTCTATCCCGCTCTTTCTGACTCATTTCACTTAACATGATACTTTCCATGTAGTACCACTTGTATGTAAATTTCATGACTTCATCTTTTCTAACCCAGAGAGGCCAAAGAGTATAGTCGAAGTGACATCTGCAATTGTTTGTTCATTGCAGCACTCTTTACAATAGCCAGAATCTGGAAAAAACCTGAGTGCCTGAGAACAGATGACTGGTTAAAGAAACTTTGGTACATTTACACAATGGAGTACTATGTAGCTATTAGAAAAGATGAAGTCATGAAATTTACATACAAGTGGTTAGAAAAGGAAAATGCTTTTTTTTTTGAGGGCAGGAAGTTTGGGCCTCATTCCGTGGTGCTTTGTAGCGCCACCTAGTGGTACTGCAGTGAAACTGCATGCAATACAATTTTCTGAATGATCTCTCTGGCCGCACTTTCTCCATTTTTACACCTACAAGACTTAGGAATGTATGTAGAAACATTGTACTTCCTCTGGTGCATATGCACGCTTTGACTCTTCCAGTGTGTGCTATTACTTTTAGTAATTTGTTGGTTTTATTTAGAAACAATACTACACAGTCTGAGTATTTGTGTATACTATTATCTAATAGACCTTTTCCTGTTCTTTCTTTTCTTTCCCCTTATCCTCGAACTCTTTCCTGGACAAGTTAAATGAATTTGGTGCCTTAATCAAGTGCTGAATAAGCACTTTCTACAATGTTCTTACCCATAATCAGTTTTCATCACTCATGTTAGGCTGTTGCTGAACACAGACACTCCAGACTCAGAAAGACAGAGATAGACCGGAGAGTTTATTAAACCTTAGCGCTGAGCACTCCTGAGCCAAGGCGACTTGTGGATCCCCAAGTCTTAATTCAGCTTTCATTATATACCCAATTATATCCGAAACTTGTGGTACAAGGTCACATTCTTACATTCTTAACCTTTATCGTACACAAAGCCAATATACAGAAGCAGAGGTGGCAGTTAGAGAAAACGTTATGCCCCATTTGTTACACGTACCACCTTCATCAACTCATCTTGCCTGCTTCTTCAGTGGGTGGGTAGGTTGATTCATGGAAACCTCTAAGACACTAAAGACTAACTAGGAAAACATAGTTAAAAGAAAAAAGATTGTTCCTTTCATTTTCACAGCAACAATTTATAACAAATTGACTCTTTGAAGAGAATAAATATTAATCATTGTTGAAAGATATTTTGTAATGTAACTGTAAATGTAATAAGGAACATCTATATGTAAAGTAAATCAGTTGAAATTATAATGTGCATTAATATCTATATCATAGTACTTGGCACATTGTATATATTTTAGAGTTTTTTCATTCTTTGCCAATAAAAAATAAAAACTTTGTTCTTTTTTTTTGTAGAGATGCTTAGGGATCATTCTTGTTTCTGTGCTCAGGAATCATGCCTGGAAGTGCTCAGGGGACTGTTTGATAGAACCTAGATTATTTAGTTTTCATAACTATATTTATATCAACATGGGTCAAATAGTAAGTAATTGTTTTTAGATGGTTGATTAAATTACATAATTTAAATATCAACTGTTTAAATTTTTTATTTCTCATGTTTCCACCAGGATAGTAATTCTATGATGTAAAGAATATGATGTTATCTTCCCATATTCAATCAGCAATCCTTACTTGGTTCTTAATGTTTAGAACTAAAGGATAGATGAACAGGTACTGGCTGATAACATGTTTCTTGATTTGTTTGTTTTTGTTTTAGCATATCAAATAAAAACTGTAAGTACCTGAAGTGGTAAAAAGGGATACTTTGTTATAAGAGTCCTAAAAGATAATCTTTATATACTCAATAACTAAAATGAATACTTAAATACTTTTGTACGATATCTAACTTGGTCTGATCTCCAAGGTCAAGTCCACAATCAAAATTAAAATAAACTATGTTTTTATACAGAAAAGAATTTATAAAATAGACATTCCTGCATGGCCAAAGCTCCATTTCACTTCAGCAACTCTGAGTTTGCCATCAGACCACCTGCTAGAGTCAAGGAAAATGAAAATACCATCAGAGGAGGTGCCAGCAAAGGCCTACTATTTGTATATAGCTATGTACTATTTATTGGGTAAATATGTCATTTTCTCAAGCGGCCTACAGTTTCTTGGGAGAAAAAAAGGGTTTAGTCACAAGTACAATAAAAAATATAAAATATGACAATGGTCAATTGGCTATTTTGCGTGCCCACAGTCACAGGAATCACGAATCATGACCATCCTGTTATTCGTCGATTGCCTCAAGCAGGCTCCTTCATCCTAGCCCTGAGATTTTTAAGAAAGTGCTATATTCAAGGCTCTTTAGGAGAATGAGACCCATCATTGTTACTGGTATTTGGCATATTGGGTACGCCATGGGGAGTTTGCCAGACTCTGCCGTGTGGGCAGGTAACATTCAGTAGCCTGCCAGTTTGTCCAAAGTAGGAATGAGATAATAAGATGTCATAATAAGATGTCGATAGCACAGCGGGTAGGGCGTTCGCCTTACAAGCGGCCAACATGGCCGACCCGAGTTCGATTCCTCCGCCCCTCTCGGAGAGCCCGGCAAGCTACCGAGAGTATTCGATATGCCAGACACAGTAACAACAAAGTCTCCAATGGAGACGTTACTGGGCCCGCTCGAGCAAATCGACGATCAACGGGAGGGCCTTTTAATAAGATGTCGCGCGGCCCGATTCTGGGAGCTGGGTTTTATAGTCTCTGAGTCTTGGCTGTTGATGGGATTACACAGCGCCAGGGGGCCAGTTGGTGGTGTGACCCCCGCCTACTGGAATTAGGAGGATCTGGGTGGAGGATGCTCAGCCCCTATCCAAGTAGGCTTGGAGATCTCAGCCCCGGCACCCGCATGCCCTTGTTCCTCTGCCGGTACCTTCATGTGTGCGGAGAGTGGTCTCAGCGTGGTGGTGACTGGTTCTGGAGGTCTTCGACTGCCGGAGCCCTGGTCGGGGTGGGGAGGAAAACTCAACCCGCTCCCCTTCAAGGGGCCCCAGCAAGGACAGCCAGGCACGGGATGCCCCAGTAAGCACTCACAAAGACTATAAGTCTGTTATCTGTCCATAGCACTTCAAGTTTCCTTGATGTATTCAAATTTTGCTAAAAGACTGCTTTTCCTATACCCTAAAGAATCATGATGGCTGTGCGTGGCCTCTTCCATACAACTCTGGACAACAGGATTCTCGCTTAACATCGAGGTGTTATCAACCACCTTTTTCCAAGGCTACAGAATGCCTTAGAGAGCAGCAATCTGAAGGACCCACGTTTATGAGGCCTCTATGCTAAAACAAAGCTGCCATTTTTCAGTGTGTGTGTCTTTTTTTCCTTGTGACATACACAAATGTTGATGTTTACTACTAAGTTGGTACATTAGTTGCTAATTAAGTTCCTAGCTGCTTCAGCCAAAACTTGCTGTATTGAATCCAAGAAAGGAATGGCAGCTATAACAAAAATAAGTTGTTTGGGGATTTTTTTTTGGTTTTGTTAAAGGAAAGCTGTGTATTAAAGGATAAGGGAGATTTGCATGCTGAAAAAGAGGAACTCTTTATCTTGACTTCCTCCTAAGCTGAGTTGGTTGTTAAATCCTCTATGTTTGACACTCAGGCTATTGAAGAGTGTGCTAATTAAGTCAACAGTTACCTCATTACCACCTCTAATTTTTCCTACCTCAAGAACCTGCAGAGAGATAGCAAGTCTTGTGGCATAGGAAAAAGGTAGGTTTATTCCAGGAGGAGAACAGAGATCCTCTTTTCCTGGGACTCTGGGCTGGAGTATCTTTGCAAAGTGCCCTTTTGTCTTCATGGCTCCACTTTTCCCTGCAGTGGCACCAACTGGAGGGTCCAGAACCTACCTACCGTGGGGTAAATCCTCATCATCGTTTGGGCAGTTTCTCTTCAACTTTTAGGGGGAAAGTCCCCAGCCACTGGCTTTCAGGCTGTCCGTTGATCTGCAATTACAATTCTAGGAATGGTGGAAAACAGGCTGATTTCCGAGGCAGAACCCAGCAAGGAAAGGCCAAAATCGGGCCCCGGGGTATTGCCGCAGCTTTTTAATTTGGGCGGGGGTTGGGGGTCGGGGGGGGGGGGGAGAGAATTCCCTTTCCTTTTCGATTTCCCAGTGTCCCAGATCCGTGGACTTTCCCGCCCGGAACTCATCTAAGGGTGACACCTTCCCCCGCCAAACAAACACGCCCCGCTCAGCTGATTGAGTGAGGGAAGTTTCTGGGTGGAGAATCGAAACGGAAACCAAAGTCTGGTAAGTTATAAGGGTGGCCAGGAGGAAAAGTGGACGCTGAGCTCCCACCCGTTCCAACGCGCCGCGCTTGGCGTCCAGGTTTCCAGTCGCTGAGCGCTCAGCAGGGGACTCCAGCGCTCCTGGCCTGCCCGCGCACGGCCGGGATCCAGAGGACCCCATCCCCCTGCTCAGCTTTGCACGAGCCCAGGTGCGTTCAGAGCTCGCTTCCGAGCGTCCTAAGGGCCCCCGGTGAGCGGTGGGCAGTCGATTCAGCGCAGACCCCGCGGCTCCCGCCCAGGCGGCAAGCAGCCGCGCGCACCCGTCGAGCCTAGAGAAGCAGCCGGTGGGGGGTTGGGGAAGCAGCTCCTCCTTGCCCCAAGGATGTCGAGTGACGGTGCCACAGACAAGAATTTCTGCTACCTCATTTCGTGCTTCAGGAACAGGTTGAAGATGTACATCACGGTGAACCCGGTGCTGGACTACCTGAGCTTTCTGTCCTTGGAAGAAAAGGACCAAATTCGGCAGAAGGCCGGGGAACTCGGGAACTACCAGGCGGTGGATCTCCTGCTAAGAAAGTTGGAGAACGGCAGGTGGCCCCAAGGCTGGGCCACGGAATTTGTTATGGCTCTTCAGCATACTGGCAACAGTTTAGCTGCCCGCTACATGGACCCCAAAGATTTGCCCTCTCCGTCCATGGAGAATGCCCATGACCAGTGCCTCCATCTGTTGACTCTCCTTCAGCCTACGCTGGTGGAGAAGCTTCGGGTTAGAGATGTCCTGGATGAGTGTGTGGCAGAGGATCTGCTGACCCCAGAAGACAGAAATCGGGTACGTTGTCTGTTTACCTGGAACTGGTCCTTGAGGCAGCTCTTGCAACTGGGAGTCACTCTTGAACATTTCTGGACATCTTTGGGAAATCTGGTTCCCTCTTTCAGAGAGAAGTGAATATCTGGGTCCTTCAAAATATACCTTTGAAATCTTACCAGAGAGAGAGAGAGAGGGTTTTTCTAGGTCTCTGTATGAAATAAGCCCAAGAGGCTTTAACTGGATAATCATAATAACTGCATACTAACAGATGAAGCTTACTGAGCACTTATTATGTGCAGTTATTTATCATCTGTAAAGTGTATTACAAAATGTCATACTTGTAATGATTTATAACAATTTTTAGTGTTATTAACTCTTTTATAGATGAAACCAGTTTAATAACTTGCCCAGAGCTGCTCCAGGTGAAATGCTAGAAAGTTAGGTTCTGATGGGGGCAAAGAGATTATATCTTATCTAATATAGTTCCATAGACCAAGGACCAGCAAACCTCGATTCCTGGACTAAATCCAATCAGCTTCTTATTTTTTTAGATCCTATAATTAAGGATTGTTTTTGAGTTTTTGGTTCTATAGTTTTCAGTGTTCAATAAAGTTTACTTGGAACACAGATGTACACTCATTTATATATTATAAAAGCCTTTAGGTTTCAAGTTTAGTTGAACTAAGACTGTGTGAGTAGCCCAGAAAGTCTAAAATACGTATTACGTGTACTTGAGAGAAAACATTTGACATTCTTTGGCCCATATTATATTCTTGTTCTGAATAAGGAATTACACAGAGAGATTACACACACACACATACACACACAGAGTTTGGGAGGGGGCACACCCAGTGGTGGTCAGAGCTTACTCCTGACTGTGCTCAGGGATCTCTCTTGATGGTGATCAAGACATCAAATATGTGTCAAGATTCAAACCCGGGTCCACAACATGGAAGAAAAAAGCCTTAACCCTCTACTATCTCTCCAGCGACACAAACAGTTTCATAAAATAAATAATACTTCTTGGAAATAGAAAGTGATAAATCATTAGAAAATATATCACTAATTGAAGTGAAAGAAGGTGGATATGGAATGGGGATGGGGGTACATCTATTAGTGTTCAGGGCTTCTCCTGACTGGAACAGGGCTGACTCCTGGCGGGTCTGGCAATTGAATGGGGTTTGTTTGCAAGAATCTTAACCTGTTTTATCTCTCTCATACAAGAATAGTGGATTTCCAGATGGCATTTTTTACAGGGTAACTTTTACAGTTGATTTTATGCTTTATTGTAGTGTCTTTAGTGTTTCATTGAATTTAGTGTTTCATTGTTTTTCAATGAGTTAGACATACTGTAAAACAGAAATACTCATCCATTTGAATTTCACTTATTCAGTGTTGTTAGTCAAAAGTTTTATTTTCAAGCACATTTAAACACATAACTTTTAAGTCAAAAGGTTTATCAACTACTATAATTTTGCCATTTTCTTTCTCCTAGTATTTTTGAGTCATTAGTTTCTTGCATCCTCATTATAAAGTTGTGGTCATTGGTCTCACATCCAGCTTATGATAACTAAATTTAATGTTTCTTCGTAGATTTGGCAACCACACGGCCTGTCCAAAGACCCAGGCATGCATCTCATTTTGACGAATGGCTTTCCTTTTTAACAACTAAATTACTTTACACTGTTGTCAGTAACGTTTATGTAGTTTTGTGTATTGAGAACCAGCTAGAACGCATTATAGTAGTCCAGCTGGATATGACAAATGTGTACATCACTGTGGCAGAATCTTAATTTGGAAGACAGTATGCAGCCTTCAAGCCAGCTGGAGTTGGAAGATGGCATTTCCAGCCACAGTAGCTGTTAGGAAGTCCAGAAGCAACAGAGTCCAGTAACACCACAAAGCTGTTTATGTTTGGTGGGTATAATGTCCCGATTGCCAGTGAAACAGCACTTCTCCTTATTTACTCTAAATACTTCTGCCTATCAGCATCACTTTTGTCTTGCCTGGATTGAATTTCCGCCAGCAAGATTTTATCCAACTTCTTGATTCTGGCAAGCTTGGAGGCAGTTAACAAAATGAGATGCAAGGAATTTGACATAAAGAAGATATAGAGTAAGGGAATACTATGTGCTGATAACAGGTAAGACCAAAGCAACCCTAATTCTTCTTCAGATTTGAACTTGATAGGATGATTCAAAAGACAGAGAAACTATGTATTCTATATTCTCAAAGGTTGAATTTTGCCTTTGTTAGATGCTGGAATCAATTTTGTACCATCATTTTGCATGTATTATCAGACTCAAAAATAAGGTATAGAAGATTATTGGAGGGAAGAATTTGATTTAGAAGAATATATATTATTATGGGGGTGAGGGATTAATATTTATTTTATAACAGCAAAGGACAGTGGAATTTGAAATAAGAAGACTTGAATTTGAGACCTTTTTTTGGCTTTCTATAATATATTACTTTGGTTTGAGTTAAATTTCATGATTCTAACTTTACTCATGAATATACTCAGAATCTTTAGGTACCCAGAAGCTGGCTAGGAACACCTATAAGTTTGATGTTTAATAATTACATACTGATTGATTAGTTAAATTTATTGAAAAAAGTATCCTGGAATAAGATTAATATGCATAATGCATGAACTAACTTACTAGGCAATCAGAAATGAAGAGATGATGGCATTAAGCTCTCCACTTCCTTTTTTATGACTATTTAGAGAAACACTTATGATGAAATTCTGCTTTAAAAAATATTTTAATCTCTTCTGGATTCTGTTAGACATTTTATACTTGGTCCATTAGATTAAGATTCCCATTTCAGTCTTCTAGCTCTTGTTTGCTGTAGATGAGAGATTTTGACAAATTATTTAAGATTTAGGTTTGTGTACAGTCTAAAACCCAGATAAACCACTTGATAGTTTTATTGTGGTTTAAATTTATAGTATGACACCTTTGTTCCTGACACCACACTGGTGAAAACATTAGAGAATAATACATACTATACCTTTGCTTTGCAACAAAATGTTTATGTTGTAATGTTGGTCATTCTTTTAATAAACGGTTTAAGATGCCTAGTGTGTGTGAGGTATTATTGTAAAAAGTGGAGATTCACCAATAAATATAAGATGTACCTTATAAGTAGTTGTAATCATATCATCCTGGGACATGTTCTGTGCTGAGGAACTTCTACTTTAGAATGTAGAGTGACATCTTGGCACCATCATTGGCGTAGATGACTATGACTTCAGCAAGTAATCAATAAGTATTCCCATTGTGTCTTAATATCAGACTGAACAGTTATGGAGAAGCACCTAATCCTCTCCTATCTAGGTCAAAATTTTAAATATTTGTAATCCTAGAAGAGAGTCTGTAACTTTTATTTATAGAAGAGAGCCAGAAATAACATGCTAAAGTCATTAGAAAGTAAGGTCAGTTCTCCCTATGTGGAATTGAGTACCAAAAGTTTTAGTCTCCCAAGGTTCCCTATGTCATTTGTTTTAATAAGCAGATTAGAATGGATAGGAATATTATTAGTAGAAATAACTACTACAAAAATTAATTCTGTCATTATGATAGCATATATTGACTTGCAAGGATACTAAGTTTTTTCAGGGAACTATTTCTTAAAAATTTCCTGTTTGATGTTTGCCACTCAATGCCTCTTTTGCAGACCGCAACACCCAAACACAGAGAGAGAACACAGGGGATTGTCCTGCCACAGAGGCAGGGGGGGATGGGGGGATGGGGGTGGGAGGGATATTATCCATGGTGGTGAAAAACGGGCACTGGTGGAGGGATGGGTATCTGATCATTGTATAATTGAAACCCAAGCACAAAAAAAATTGTAAATCTACAACTGTAAAAAAATTAAAAAAAAAATGTAAATACAATGGTTTCAAACTAAAAAAAAAAAAAATTCCTGTTTGAACTGGGAAGATAACTCCAGTGAGTTGCACATATCTGCCATGTGTAAGGTCTGGAGTTTGAGTCCACTACCTCACAGCTTCCCTACTGGGGCAAGCCTTTTTGTAAAAGGTTTTTTTCTGATCGGAGAGGTACAGAGGTTGAGGCACAAACATCTTATGCTGCCAACCCTGGTTTGATACCCAAGACCACGTATTCCCTAGACCATTATTGGGTGCAGCCCCAGAGGTCCCTGAACATTACCAGTGTGTCCCAGGTGATCCCCACAGTGAATCTGAGCAACACCATATCCTCAGTCTCACATTGAACTGCAAGCCTGCGTGACAGAGAGGCCAGCAGGGCCTCCAGCCCTGCTAAATAGCACTTAATAGTTTTAGCATCCCCAAAACAATAAGAAAAAAATCCTGATTTTCAACATAACTTGTTTCCTGATTTACTGGTACATAGTCCTCTTGTCTTCTGTTTTGCATTCTACAGTGTCAGTAATATTGGTTACATACAATTTGAAAATATAATGTAGCACTACTCCTCCCATTGGTCATCGATTTGCTCAAGCGGGCCCAGTAACGTCTCCACTGTGAGACTTATAGTTACTGTGTTTGGCATATTGAATATGTCACGGGTAGCTTGCCATGCTTTGCCGTGCGGGCAAGATACTCTCGGTAGCTTGCTGGGCTCTCCTAGAAGGACCAGAAAAATCCAACGCAGGTCTGCCTGGCCGGCCGTATGCAAAGCAAACACCGATTTTGAGAGGAAAATTATAAATAATTAACAGAAGGTTGCATATGAAAAGAAACATAATTTAGTGTTGCCAGGTTTTGATCAGACACTGGGAATTTTGGAACTATTTCCTGAGATTATGGGGTAACTACTAGGCTGAGAGCTTAACTCTAATGCTGTCAAGGATCACTATTGTATTTAAGTAGCTAAATTGTGATGTGGGAAAGAAAGCATTTTGACTTTATTTTTTGTGACCAAACCCAGTGAGGCTTTGGGCTTACTCCTGGATCTGGAATCACTCCTTGCATGGCTCTGAGGATCTTTTGGGGATGTAAAAGTATGAACCCTAGTTGGCTGCATGCAAGGTACACACTCTACTGGGTGTATTATTGCTCCAGCCTGGAAGAAAACATTGATTAGGAAACTGTTCATTTGTGTTGGCAAGCCAATACTGAATGAAAACATCATTGGTTTCTTCACTGATTCCTGCTGGAAAGAGAAAATTTATGTCCAAATATTTAGAATACATTGACTTGTAGTCTTTTTTAAGTTTTTTTTTAACTTTTAAAAAAATTAATTGAGATTCCGTGATTTACAGTTACTGTTAATGATGGTTTCCCTTGCACACAATTCCAGATCATACTTGATCTGTATTCTTCAGTTTCACTTTTGTTTTGTATTTTGTAAATAAGTTGACCTATCAGTTCTCTTAAGTGCCACTTGCAAATCCTAGACTCCCCAAAACAGTAAGAAGAAAAATTTTTGTTTTTAACATTTTTTTTTGTTTCCTGATTTGTACATAGCCCCACTTGTCCCCTGTATACAGTAGATTTCACTTCACATTCACAGAAATCATCCATGGGAGGAGGACATGAGTGGGATTCATCAGGTGTTTTGTTACTGCAAATTTCAGTGAGTTTCATATAAGGATATAATATATTTATTAGTTTTAGGAGAAAGATTAACATTTTTAAAAAGAATGTGTCATTTCTTCAGAGAATGTAATTTCTGGCATGCAAATTTGTGCAATTTATTAAAAAAATCAGTGTTTTGGTAAAACTGCTTAAATCAAACAATATTGTATTTGATTTCATATTTAAATAATTATAATATTTGAAGGTAACAATACAATATAACCCTTTTATCTGAACTCAGTAAGGACCAAGCAAGCTTTACAGATGTAGTTTTGCAGAAAATATCTACTTGATTAATAGTTTAAGACTATAGATAAAATGGGAATTAATATTATATGCTTAGATATTTAGTAGTACTTATTACTATAATTTTTGTTTTTAGAGAGTTTTCTTCTGGTTACTTTTTAAAAATGCATTTAAATATGATCAAATGATGGAGTTACTAAAATTGAAATATTTGAGAAGGTGCTGAAACTAAAGTTGTTTAACACATATAGCAATGATTGCTTAAATTAGCAAGTAGTAAGAAAAATGCTACACATACCAGAGAAGATGATTTTTTTTATTAGGAGATTAATAAAGCTAGACAAAAGGAGGCAAATAAGTAGGAATTTACTTAGGAAATGCAATAGGGGAAGTAGACTAAATGTTTTGGTAGTTTTTTATGTTTATGTAGTAATTTAAACTACTTTTATTACCATAAATTGAAACCCAAAGTTGGAGACAGTTATTGACTGTATTATTTTTTGATATATTATAGTTCAGAAAGGCAATGTCTGGCCCCAGGAAACAATGGCCTGGATCAAATTCTACCTCTGCCATTTACTAGCATTATTAGTCTTGAGGAGGAAAATGAACTTCTGTGCAATTTAGATTTCTAATCCTTCATTAGATAATATTGGCACCTTCTTCAGTGTTACAGGGTTATTGTATGCAGAACCTTTATGACACCACCATTAATAGTAAACTAATGAAATTAAAATATATTTTGGTTAAGAAGTCTATGTTGGGAGCTGAAGAGATAGTACAGTGGGTTAAGGTGCTTGCCTTGCACTTGGACAACCCGTGTTCGATTCCAGGTACTACATGTGGTTCCCCAAGTTTGAGCAGCAGTGATTCCTGAGTAAAGATTCAGATGTAAATCCTGAGCAAGCTGGGTGTGGCCAAGGAACAGAAACAAAACAAAACCAACAAACAAAACTCCACACTGCAAACTTCTTCATGAATAGTGTATGCTAGTAAAAAGTGTTTATAAATATAGATGTTTCTCTAATTATCTATAATAGTATAACAACTAGCCTCATTTGCAGTAATTGTTACAAAAATACAATTTTATTAATTGAAAGGTCATACATATAATATAACTAGAAAGTACATAAATTTTGTGGGATATAATTTAGTTAAATAATTCAAATCATGCACATAGAAGATGAGTGAATGTTGATAAGAACTTTTGAATATTTTAGCTAATATTTTTATCTAATTATGATGGTTTTAATCATTAAATAGTTTTAATCTTTTTTCCACATTTCTCAAAAAATACAATTTACCTCTTGGAGGTAGAGTCCAGTATTTATTTAAATGTTTTTATTGGTGGGAGGGCACACCCCGCAGTGCTCAGGAGTTGCTCCTGCTTCTGCACTCAGGCATCATTCCTGGTGGTGCTCAGAGGAATATATGGCATGCTGAGGATCAAGCCTGAGTGAGCCATGCACAAGGCAAGCTCCTTACCCACTGTACTATCTCTTTAGTCCCTGATTAAATATTTCTTTATGAGGATTTTTTTTTGTTTTGTTTTGGAGGGGCCACACTGAGTAGTACAGTCTACTAGTCTGAGCTCTGTGCGTAGCTCTCAAATCTAATTCTTGGGACCATGTGGTGCTGGGGATCAAAGCTGGGCCTCTTGCATGTAAAGTTGGCATCCTGCCCATGGAGTTATCTCTCTGGCCCCATCAATATTTGTGTATATATATGGGGTGCGGAAAATCTGGACCTTACCCAGCAGTGCCCTGGGCTCACTTCTATTTGTGTGCTCAGGAACTACTCCTAAAGATGCCTGGGGAACCATATGTAGTGCGAAGGATAAACTAGGGGGTATCCATCATTTAAGTGATACCCGAACCCCTATACTATCTCTTTGGCCCCCCATTCAGTATTTTTTAAAACTTCCCATAGGATTCTAATGGTTAGGGAGAGCCACTGAAATTTCGTTTCAGTTCTCTTTCTCTATATAGAGACTAAGGAGCAGAAGATGAAAGCTTCCTTATCAATGACAAAACAAGCTGATTAGGCCCTGTCTAATTACTTTCTGGCCTAAATGTGACTTGTATTAGATATTGACACCATATTAAAACTTGGGAGATGTAGTCTGATAATAATAGTATATATGATTCAAATTTTAAAGAAGTTGCTGAATTAGCATAAAAATAAAACTAAGCAAAAACAATGGATTATAATAAATGGATATAGAAATAATTATTGGGGTTGGAGTATAGTACAGTGGGTAGCACATCTGCCTTGCATATAGCTAATCTGTATTTTATCCCCAGTATCTTATATAGTCTCTCAAGCACTGCCAGGTGTAATTCCTGAGCGCAGAACCAGAAGTACCCCTGAGCATCGCCAGGTATGATCCAGAAAACTAAAAAAAAAAAAAAAAAGCTGACACAAAAAAGAAAGATACAGAAATAGATGTTATCTCATAATACTAACTTAACACATGAGAGAGAGAAAGAGAGAGAGAGAGAGAGTGTGTGTTTGGGCCACAGTCATGCTCAGGGCTGAGATACCTGACTCTGCATTCAGGAATCATTTCTGGCAGTGCTCACAGGACTATAAGGGTTGATGTAATTGAAACCTAGGTCATTAATGTGTAAGGTAAGCACCTTACCCATTGTGCTATCAATCCATCCCCAAATGTGCACAAATTTAAGAAAAATATAACAAATACTACAAGTATTTGTGGGTAAGTGTAGAAACACAAAGTCAATTGCTCATAATGGTAATGAGGATGCATGAGAGGTTAGATGATATAGGCTAAATTTATTACTTTCATGCAGTAAAAGAAAACAGCAAGACTTAGACATACAGAAAGATACTGGTGACAAAAAGACATAACATAGCTAGATACTTCCTCTTGTCCTACCCAGTTCAGAATAGCGATGTTAAAAACATTTATTTCCTAAGTATCAAGCTTTGCTAATGTCTCAAGGAACTAAACATAGAGTGCGTGCTTAATTATTTTTCATTTAATTATTAAAAAAATAATAAATACTACCTTATAGCAGTTTACAGGTTTGGTGTTTACTCCTTGTGGTGCTGTTCTTGGTGGTGCCACCCTTATAGTTTGATTTTTGTGGGATCCTGCAGTGCCTGGCATTTGAAATTAGACTTATTGCTCTGCCCCTTTATCTTCCCAGACCCACAGTTCATATTTAAAAGGGTGTGTGGCCCATCCCAGAATATGCAATTTATTCTACAAGTAATGCTGTTTTCTCTAGATTTTGAAAATAAAACTTTATATTTACTGCGTGATTGCTCAGTTTTCCAAAAGGTCCATTCCTTTTAAAAACTTATTTAAAATGTTTTATTTTCTTTGTTCCTTCCTCCCTCCCTTCCTCCCTTTTATTCTTCATATCTCTTTCTCTATTTCTTTGATTTTGGCATCACACCCATCAGTGTTCAGGGCTTATTCCTGTTTCTGCTCTCAGGGATCACTTCTGGCAGTACTGGAGGACCATATGGAATCCTGGGGATCAAACCTTGGTTGACCACATATTTGGCAAGTGCCTTGCCCACTCTACTATCACTCCAGCCTCTGATTTTCTTTAATTTTATGTTTATCTTAAAACAGGTTGATGCTGCAGAAAATGCTGGAAATGAAGCAGGTGTAAGAGAACTACTGAGAAGGATTGTGCAGAAAGAAAACTGGTTTTCTCCTTTTCTGACTATTCTAAACCGAACTGGAAATGAAGCACTGGTGGAAGAGTTAACAGGCTCCAATCTATCTGGAAGCAGTGCAGGTATTTCCACTTTTTAGTACTAAGGAAGAGTATGTAAGTTTTGACTGTTGACTGAGAATTTAGGGAAGCCCATTGACATAATGTCAAGCTCTAAGATATTTACAATCAACATTTCAAAACTGGAAGGAGCTTGAGGGATTATATAGTACCTCAGTTTCTTAAACTGTAGGTCACGACCCCATATGAGGTTGCAAAACTGAATGTGGAGGTCACAAAAAATTTGGCGATAGAAAGTTTTCTGAATGCAAATAAGCAAAAATTAATTCAAAATTAAATGCATAATGAGTTATTGTTTCTAGCAGTGCTCACCTATGTTGTATTTCTCTGGAAAAAAATAACTTATACTTATGAGTGGAAAAAGTATGAGACTCTGCTCTAGTATATCCACTCTACAAATGAGAAACTACTGGGTAAAATATTAACTTACTGAAGTTCACAAAACTCAACAATGGAACCACTGACTCTATTTTGCTTTAGAAATAATGATTGCCTGAAATTTTTCATCAAGATAATTTTAACTTTGAATAGACTTAAAATGCATTGAAAAGAGTATTTTAGCTGTCATTGCAAACATTCCTTCTATTATTCTGGGTATTTACATACTTTTTAAACATATAAATAGAAAGTCTGTAAATACCAATGTATCTTAATAAAATTTCCTTTGGATTTTAAAAAATTCTCAATTATAAGTCTGGAGAGATAGTTCGGGGTTAAGGCACTAGCCATGTTTGTGACCGGCCCCCAAACCACATAAATTTCCCTGAGCATCACTGGAAGTGATCCCTGAACCCAGCAGAATATAGCTCAACGTATCCCTACTGACAAAAATAAAAGCTATTTAGTTATAATAAAAAAAGATGAAGTATTTATGGTTCTCTCAACTGTAATGTTGCAGCTCTAAATTGAGATTTTAAGCATAGAATTTTTCTATTTATGAAAAATGTCATGAGTAAGATAAATCGAAAGTTAATTGGTAATTAATTCTTTAACTGAATTATTATTTTCTCAAGTGAAATAAGCTTGAAATAAATTATATTTTTAGTCACTGAGTTAATCATTCGGTTCATATTTAATGAGTGCCAACCACATACCAGTCATCTCTCCTGATACTGAGTATTTGAACTGAAATGCAACCAAATCCACATTCCCATATACTATCAAATGGAATAAGGTACTTAGTAAATGATGGCATTGTTTAAATCCATTTAATTTTAAATTGTTTAATGAATTTTGAATGAAATGAAATATACAATGAAAAGTTTCCTCAAGTTATGCAAAATAAAACAAAATAATTACTAAATTACTAAACAGCATTTTTTTCTAGATACGTGAGTAACCTCATATTACCCATTGCCATGTTTTGAAATGCACACATACACATGCACGTAGATTAACATATATATATAAAGTCAAGTACTTTTAATATAAAATAGTGTCAATGAACCTCTATGTCAGCGAAACATGGAAAGTGAAGTATAAAGATTTAAGTTTAAGGTTTTTTTCTTCTCCAGTATCATATATTTTAAATCACAGAGTAAAACTTTTGAGGCCTTCCAGCTCTTCTTTTTCAGTAATGTTTCTAGAGAATCTGAGGAGCTTTCCAAAATCAGGCAATAATTCTCTGATTGTCCATGAAGCAGTTTCCAAGACTTCTACTGCCACTGCTTCTCTTTCAGTGGTCAGTGAACTGCAGAAAGTCCTTCTCCATCAGAAGCATCTTTATTTTACTTCTCTTTTCCGGAGGGGGCTCAGTGTTACTCAGTGTTACATACTCAAGACTATGGTTATTCCTAATAGATAACTATGGTTATCTATTAGGAATCTAATAATAATAATAATCTAATTAGATTCTAATAATCTAATTAGATTCCTAATAGATAACTATAGTTATCTATTAGGAAATTTTATACAGGACTTACTTTTTTAGAATTAAGATCTGCTCTAAAGTATTTTCTAGATGTACCTAACATAGACAACGTGTCTGGCAATATTTCTTCTGAGATTTTATTGTCAGGAATCAATCCCAGTGAATGCAATGTATGTGCTCTACTACTAAGCCCTGACCACATGGACATATATACATGCAAGACTCACAAATACAAACATACACAAAACATGTGTGTTTGTGTGTGTGTGCATTTGTGGGGTTTGTTTGCTAAGGTATTACTAAATTATGTTGTGCACGATACCTTGTTAGAAACAATACTATTTTCAAATTTTAATTTATTGAATAGCTATTCAGATAGAATATATGTAGAAACACCAGTGTTAGGACACATTTTATTTTTAATGTAGGAGTACTGAAATTTATTCAGTCATTGACTAAGCTGACTGAATTGGGTATAAACTCCACATTACTTCTTTAAAAATTTTTTTAATTAGATATTTGTGAGATAGACCATTACAAAGCTATTATATAATTGGGTTTCACCCACACAATGGTTCAGCACCCATCCCTCCACCAGTGCACATTTCCCATCACCAATGTCCCTTGTTGCCCTACCATCATCCCCCAACCTCATACCCCCTTCCCCAGTCTCCCTCTATGGGAGGCACTTTCCTTCTTGCTCTCTCTCTCCTTTTCCTTTTGTGCATTATGCTTTATAATACAGATGCCAAGAGGCCATGGTGTCCATTCAGGGCATTTGGTATTTTTATCGAGATGGTAAGGCTGGAGTAGCTTTTCAATTGGGTGGAAGCTTTGGGGTATGGATATGACTTCTGGGGCATTTGGAAGTACAGGGAGGTGGGAGGAGATAGAACATCCCTACTCTGAGAAATCCTGGAGATTTCAGTCACAAAACCCGCATCCCAAATTTTCAGCAGATTATATCTTGTTGAGGTCCATCCTGAGTCAATGGAGTCGGGTCAGGGGTATGGTGGTGATTTTGGATTGTGGAAACAAGGGGTTGCTGAGGGCTCTGCTTGGGCAGGCACCAGGACAACCCCCCCCCCCCCCCCATTTGGATACATTTAATCTAGTATTTACAGTCATCTAGAATTATCATGCCTTCCTCTTTAGTTTCTTTTTTACATGCCACAATTTTCTTTATGATTTGGTCTTCCTGTTTGTTTCTAAATAACTTAGTTTATCTAATTCCTCCCAGTTCATGCACATTTACTCGATAGTCAAGACTAAGTAAGCACTTTATGAGGAGAGGAAAGCTGAGGAAGAGAGAAATTCATGAATAGTAGTGTCCTGCCATCATTAGCACTTTCCCCTGTTTTGACTAGGATGTAGGTTTAGATGTGTGAGATCTTAGAGGAGATAGCTTCTGAATTTCTCTCCTGGGTGTGAGGGAAAATGCTTATTGCTATCAGGGGCTCAGCTGTCTTCAGTTTCTCTCACCCCTCACTTACTGTCAGGTTGCTCCTGACCAACTCATCCCAAGTAAGTAGGTTTACTTCTCATTTTCTTAGAAAAGTCCGTCAAGAAGTAAGAAATTTAAAGATTAATTGCTGAGTTGTGTATTTTATATGAATCTCAGAATTTTTCTGATAGGCACTCAGAACAAATTTACTTGAGGTTATTTCTTTAATTCAGATCTGCTTGGAACCGCATGTTGCAGTGCTCAGGGCTTACTCTGTGCCCAGGGGTCACTCTTCGGGTGTTTGGGAGAACATATGTGTTCCCAGAGATCTGCTGACCACAGGCCAGGCAAGCATCAAGAACCCTGAAATAATCCTCTGGCCCTCCATCCAAAATTTTTTGTTTTGTTTTGCCTTTTTAAAAAAACATTAGCCACAAACACTGATGCTCTAGGCCTTCTCCTTACTCGTGGTTCATTTCTGGTGCTACTTAGGGGATGCTGGGGATTGAATGTGGGTCAGCCACATGCAAGGCAGGCATCCTGACTGCAGTACTTTCTCTCTGGTCACCTTCCAAAAATCTTAAATTGAGGCCTACCCCGCAATGTGCCTGTGTTTGGAGAGTGGGCTTTTCAAGAGATAGCTGGAAAAAAGAGAATCAGAAAGTCTGTCACCAATCCCACAGTTCTGAGAACTGAAAACAAGAAGAGCTTCTTGTTTTTCTCTTTCTTCAGCATGTGAGGTCAGAGCAAAAGTGGGCTTTTACGGCCTAACTACAGAACTCTTACCAGACACCAGCATAATAGTGTATTGATATTTAACTTCCTATCTCCAAAACTATGAGAGTAATTTTCGGGAGCTAAAGTTATTCAATGTATGGCATTTTAACATGCCATTCAGAGATGACTGATACAGGAATCCAGGTGCTAGCTAGCTCTGGATTTTTGATTCCTGGTTCCTTCATTTCACTGGTTGTGTAAATTTGACCTGATACTGGTCATTTCTGTGTCTCAGTTTATTTTCCTGTGAAATGGGGATGATAATATTTTTTACCTAGAACCCTTTGAGGAACAAATGATTTAACACATTTAAAGTGCGTGTATGGTAGTAACAAAATATGTAAGCTGATTATAAAATCCAAACAAAATTTATCTAGTTGCAAACATCAAATAAATTCAAAGTGTATGGTCACAAAGGTTTTCTCAGAAAATTTTCTACGTATATTTTCCTCTTATTTCCTCAAATGGAGTAACCCAAAATAATACTTTAAGACATTTTTCTGATGACATCAGTCTTCTCCAACAAACTGTAGCTTCAGATGCGCAGAAACTTTATTTCTTTAGAACTGTTGGAGGCCCTTAATAAAATACTCAATACATGCTTCTAAAGTATGCACATCTTGGAAGGAGAAATAGAGGGAAAGAAAAAAGAAAGATACAATATTTCATTAAATTTTAAAAAAATCTCCCCAAATTCAAAATACATGAATTTAGGCTGACATTAAAGCATATGTACATGTTGTGTAGAATGCATGAGGGAACAAAATGGCAAGAGCATGAGCTAAAGAAAAACTACCATCAAATTTGCATTTTCATTAATTCAACCTTAAATATAACTTCATATCATGGAATAAGTTCTTTACTTTCCAAAGAGGATGGTCAAATAAGAAATAATTCCATTTTCTGTGTTACTAGCATAATTCTATGTCTTATTTTTTATAAGATAAAATTTAACCATCAAAAAATACTTTGTTTCATTGAAAATGAAAATGCTGAATTCGCGAAGATAGCTCAAAGGACTGGAGTGCATGCTTTTTTATGTGGGAGTTCCAGCTTTAATTCCCAGCTGTGCCTGGTCCCACAACATTGCCAGGAGAGACTCTTGAGCACCAGGCAAGGAGTAGCCCTTGGGAACAACTGCCTGTGGCACCATCATTAAAAATAATAGTAATAATATACCATATAAAAACTTGTATTGGTGTATTTTTCAATTTTTCAATTTTTTTAAATTTTTATTTATTTATTTATTTATTGCAAGAGCTTTGGGCTGGAGCGATAGCACAGTGGTAGGGCATATGCCTTGCAATCTGCCGGCCTGTCCAAGCCGGGTTCGATTCCTCTGCCCCTCTCGGAGAGCCCGGCAAGCTACCGAGAGTAACTCGCCTGCACAGGAAAGCCTGGCAAGCTCCCCGTGATGTATTCGATATGCCAAGCACAGTAACAAGTCTCACGATGGAGATGTTACTGGGCCCGCTCGAGCAAATCGGTGAACAATGGGAGGACAGTGCTACAGTGACAGTGCTACAGTGCCAGAGCTTTGAGTCACACCTGTCCATACTCAAAGGTTACTCCTGACTTTGTCCTCAGGGGTCACTCCTAGCATCACTCAGGGGGCCATATGTGGTGCTAGGGATTCATCTGGGGTCTAATGTGTGGAAGACAATCCCTCAACTATCTCTTTAATCTCAATGTTTTACATTTTGTACTTTTATTCACAGAAGCTGAGAATTTATCACAGGAAAATGGTCCTGAAACTCAAGAACCACTTGTTTTAACCATGGTTCAGCCAAGTCCAGAGAAAGATTCTGATACGTCATTGGAATCATCTTTCACAGTTTCAGGTACTAATTCATTTGATTCATCCAAACCTTTGAAATATAGTGAGGCTATTGCCATTTTATAGATTATATTGTCTCAGAGAAGTTAATTGGATTATAGAAACCAAATCCAAATCTGTAGAATTCAAGTGGAATAGTTACTAAATTCTGGTTGATGTGGATTTTGGTGTATTAACTAATTGGAGAGAGAAATAAATACCACCATGACCACCTTTAGCTATAAAACAGACCTGGAAAGATCAAACCAAATAAATATATTTCCTCTATAATTTTTTTCATGATAGGAGATTCTTTCCTTACTCTTCTCTCCTTGCAAACGGACCACAGTATTATTTATTATTATTTAACCAAAAATCTCAAATCTGCTCTGTACTGCTAAAAGTTTAAAAGGTAACTCTCTCAGGATATGGGAAAAAAATCTTTGATTTTAATTTTGTTCCGATCTTTATGGTATAAATATTTCCACAAAGACTGAGTTCAAGCCTTCCACATAAAGTTACTAAACAAAAAATTGGAGAGTATCTGAGCAGTAGTACATCATTTTATCACATTTCCACTATATAAATTAGTAGACATTGGTAGCCTTATAAATAATAGTAAAATCAAGCAAACTTATTAGAAAGTGATGAATTTTAAGTATCCTTTATCTTAATTTAATTTGTTGGCTGTTTATATAACATGTTATAAAATGGTTTACTTAATAACTGACTTAGACAATTCCCAGAAATTATTTTTAGTGTGTGAATTATTGTAAGCTGACTCCTCACAGCACTACAGAGTTTATTATTTTTATACTGATTCTCAGAAAAATGCTATTTAGCTTACAGGAAATTTGAAAATCATGGAAACCAAAGAACTTTCGTCCATATTACTTTTGCAGTACATGCACACAGAGACACACAGACACACACATACACACACAGACACACATACACACAAAAGATATTCATGTATAGTTGCATTTCCCTGGTTTCTTATATATTCTTCTAAAATATGTTTTATTTTGTTTTGCTTTGCTTTGTTTGCTGGTGGGACAGGGTCCACAGTACTTGCTCTGGTCCTGGAGAGTCACCAGGACTATGTCTGGTATTGCATGGGGAGGGACTTGTAATGACCATGCAGAGGAGAGCACAGGACCCCACCCCATCCCTGCTGCCATGTGAAGCATGTGCTCTACCACATGAGCAACAATCCTACTCCTATATAACTTATTCACTGATAAAATTTAGAGTTTTTAAAAATTCATTATATATGAGTATAACAAAGGTTTGTGAAATTTCATTATTTGTAAAATCCATAGCAACATGCATAGTACCTAAGTATTTCTCTTTGCAATCATGTCTCCATGTAATTATTAAAAGCATATTAGATTCTGGGAATTTTTAGGTAAAAATATTTCTATCATGTTAAGACATTTGATCTATACTGTTTATTGTCACTCCAAGAAATTGTATCAGTTTACATGTCCTGCACAGCTAGGAGATTTGCACCTGAGTTTCGTCTGTGACAATGAATAGCACTGTAGCACTGTCCTCCCATTGTTAGTTGATTTGCTCGAGCGGGCACCAGTAACGTCTCCATTGTGAGACTTCTTGTTTCTGTGTTTGGCATATCAAATACACCACAGAGAGCTTGCCAGGCTCTGCCGTGTGGGCAGGATACTCTAGGTAGCTTGCTGGGCTCTTCTAGAGGGATGGAGGAATCGAGCCCGGGTTGGCCATGTGAAAGGCAAAGGCCCTACCGCTGTGCTATCGCTCCACCCAACAATGGATAATACTTTCAAATTTAAGCAATATTATATTTTGTTATTTGAATTTGAAATTTTGATTTCTAGTTAAAGACAATTTTGGACTTTCCAGTTACTCATTCAGCTACTCGTTTGGACTTTTCATTACTCGTATTACTCATTGACACATTTTTACAATTGCTTCTTATTATTTATCTTTATCTTTATTTATCATGATTTATGATATTTACATTTCTTAGTTTGTTTCTTCCCGGGAGCACAGTGCTATTGTAGGACCTGGAGGAAGGGATATTATTAAAATGCTACAGGGCCTTTGATGGGCTGGTACTTTGTTTTTCTCACATGTTCCCACTTGAACATGCGCTTGCTGGTTCTGGATCACTTTAAGGAGCAACGCTGTTTTACCTGAATTCTAGATTGTTTGTTTCATTTGAGTTGCTGTGATTTATTTTTTTCCAGAAATAATAATTTCATAGAAATCCTAGACCATGCTATCTGATTGTGAGGTTTTAATGTATTAAGGTGGCTTCCATGGTGGTCTTCTAGACATCTCTGTGAATTACTGTTTCTGTTTTACTTAATTTGGTAGTTTTGATTCTTTGTTTGTTTTGTTTTTAATTCACACTAGAAAGAACTGGATATAATATGGAGGCTGGGCATGCATGTGTTTATCGTGAGTGTTTCCCATCAAAGGTTACTGGCCCAAAGTAGCCCATGAGCTGCAGTCTGTTGATAGAAGTGCCTGAGTTTCTAAAAGAACAAAATTAAGAGCAAAACTTTGAGACTTCTATTTTCTTACCGTTTATCATAAGTTTTAGTTGGGTCACGAGACAAAACCCCAACCTTGTAGAATGTTCCCCCCCCCCATTGTGGTTTCTCTTATTCCAGCCTTTCTTAAATTTCTTTCCTTTATCAAATGTTTCTCAAACTCTTGTCATGTGCCTGGCTCCTACTATTCAGTGTATTCACTGTAAATAAAGGGCAGCTACATAACAAAAACGGTGTCTGCTCCCATGGAACTTTCAGCCAATGGGCATCAGCCAAACACTAGTCATTCTCTACATTGCAAGTGCCATGAAGCAGTGCTGAGGAAAATCATAAAGAGTTAAGAATATATTACAGTCTGAAAGCATGTGAGTACAGGAAATTGTGTGATAATTTGAGGCTCCCACCTCAATCATGACCAGTCTTCTAATCTGCTAGGATTTGATGTCTGGAATTTTTATCTATATATTTGTGAATAGTTTTGGACAATCATTCTGGACCTTTCCAGAATAGTAATAAAGAGTAGTTTATTTATCAAAGTGTAGTACCCTTTTTGTAGTCCTTAGGCGCTGCTACTGATAGATACTATGGAATATGTGGTGTCTGTTCTTTTTCTTGTTGTTCTTCAAACTATGATAAACTAGTATAAATAGCTTGTAAAACGTCAATGCAAAGAAGTTTTTAGAATTCTTTAATCTGAAGTCTTAAAGTTAATTTTAAATTTTTTTACATTAAAAGAATGATTTCTAAAAGATATTTGAATAGCTCTCAGACTTGGTAGGACTTTATTGGTGTTACATATTTTCTTTCTTTTTTAGAATTAGAATCCTTTATTTCCAGTGAATATATTAAGACACTACTTAATCAGTATAAAGCAGGTGTACAATAAAATTAAATTCCAGTAGTCATTTTATCTTCTGATAAGGTCAGAAGATAAAACTATTTTATTTTCACCCCAAATAGTTATACAACACTGGCTCAAGATTTTCCCTAGCTGTGTATAGAGTGACAGTCACATCTATGAAGAGAACTTCTATTTAAAAAACTTTTTTAAAAAGGTTGCTTTTTAAAAAGTATTATTTCTAGAATTGTAATTGTGTTTCGCAGATTCAGTGTTGATGTTATTTATGATCTTTCAGGAATTATGACATAGCTAGTTAACAGCTAGAGCACTTAAACCTATTCATATTATAGTGTCTCCATTATTCCAATTTAAGGTGTGATTCTAAGTCCATAAAATGAAAACATGTCACTATTATTACAGACTTCTACGCTATTCCATTACACAATTGAATTTACTATAGAAAAGAAAACAAAATAAGTTTGATTTTTGGTGGTAGTTCTGCAGTTAACATAATAACTAAAGAGAACTGAACCCAATTAGTGAAAAATGTAGGTATCAGTTGGCTGCCTTCTACTTATGTGATCTGACTTACTTACTTTGTTTATATATGGCAAATGGTATATTTTAAAGATATATTTTTTTATAAAATGAAATTGGTGAATGGTGGATGCATGGTGCTGAGAACGTCTTGGTACAGCCCTAACACAATAAATAAACAAATGAATAAATGAATGGAAACATTGATGGTAGAAAACTATTACATTAACTGCCTGTAAACAGTCTCAATATGAAACACTTGTTATTTTCTTTTTGAAATATCTGGGTGTCATAAAGTTTTCCCTAAAAGGTATAAGAAGAACACAAAGTCCTCATTATACTTTATTTAAAATATTTTAATTTCTACAAAATGCCAAGTTATCTGAACTTTAAATTCTACAGATTGTGTAGAATTATTTTCGATATGCCAAACACAGTAACAACAAAGTCTCCAAGGGAGACGTTACTGGGCCCGCTCGAGCAAATCGATGAACAACGGGAGGACAGTGACAGTGACAGTGACTACTATTTCATCTCAAGTCAGTAGAAGTGTCATATTGATTAAGAAATAAATTATATATTAGCCCAGCAAACTACCGAGAGTGTTTCGCCTGCACGACAAAGCCTGGCAAGCTACCTGTGACATACTCAATATGCCAAACACAGTAACAACAAGTCTCACAATGTTACTGGACCCGCTAGAGCAAATCGATGAGCAACGGGATGAAAGTGACAGTGACAGTGACTTATTAAATGAAAATAAAATTAAATGCTGTTTATTTTATTTTTAAAATACTTTTTTTAATGCAGAATCCCACGGGAAATCTCACAATCATCATTTTACTTACTATTCTGTGTTGGAGCTCTGTTTTGTAACGAGAAAATGCAAGTACCTGAAATTGACCAGCAGAGAGCGCTTTTACATTTAAAAAGAAAAGGAAATTTTACTGCTCCTATATGGAAGATGAGATTATAACAGTACAAGGGCATGCATGTATGAACATACAGTGCGCATGACTATGAGTGCATGTGTATATTTTGATTTATATATTCGTTCACGTGAAGATTTTAAAATTCCACCCAGCTAATGAGCTTACCAACCTGCTTGTT